CTTGGATGTGGCAGAAGAAGCTTGGGAACTCAAGAATTAAGGATGAACGGGACCAGAAACCAACTTCTCATGTCTTCCTTCGATAGAGAACCCATAGGAATTAATGGCCTGTTTTCTTCCTATTGATTTTAATAATTAACATGATGTTAGTAGATACATGTAATCATATTACAGTTGCAGGAAATCATTTTGCTAGCCTGCTTACGTTCACGAGAAATATACACACAACGGAATATACAGAGGAAAACAAGTTCTAGTGAAAACCACAAGGGGGCAGTGGTCTTCTCTCCAAAAAGATCTTGCTTTTTAGTTCAGTCTGTCCATTCCATGCAATTTTGTGTTGGAGTTCAGCCTTCTCAAGTCTCTGGCGTTCCAAAATCCTTTCAGTCTCTAATGCTGCAATGCAGAAAAGTGCAAAAGATAAATCAAAGCATAATTAGTCACCTCAGAAGTTATCATTCCCTGAAGTTTTAGGAGCTACTTTTTTTTTTTCTAGTGGTGAATTAAGGATCTATTGTCCACCCCGGTGGCCCACAATCTTTTGGCCACCAGGGACCGGTTCCATGGAGAGAGATTTTTTCCATGGACCAGAGGGGTCGTGGTTTTGCATGCTGCCTGCATCCCATGGATGGGGCTTTGCTTGTTTGCACGGCCAGGTTTCTGGCATGCTGCAGCCCACTGCCAGTCCATGGACCGGGGGTTGGGGACCCCTGCTCTACCCTCTCTAATGTTGACCGAGCAGGCAGTTGAAAACTCTAACTCAGCGGTTCTCAACCTATGGGTCGCGACCCCATTTGGGGTCGATCGACCATTTCACGGGGGTCGCCAAGGAAGGCTGTCCACCATTTTTTTCCCCTTTTCCGGCGGGTGCCTTACCTCCCTTGGGCTGGGCCAGCTGGTGGTTGGCCTGCTCCGTCTCTGCCGCTTGCCAGCTACGCCTCGGCCGGCGCAGGGAGCGGAACCACGCATGCGCGGCGCTCCCGGGCAGGGAAAGTCCTCGACTTACGACCGGTTGGGTAGTCCTCGACTTACGACCGGTTTAGTCCTCGACTTACGACCGGTTGGGGGTCGCGGCATTAAAAAGGTTGAGAACCACTGCTCTAACTCAATTTAGACTTAAAGCTCGATTTAGCTGGAAAGCTAAATCGTTAAGACTATACTGCGCATCTAAGGCAGTGTTTTTCAAACATGGCAACTTTAAGTGGACTTCAACTCCCAGAATTCTCTCAGCTAGCATGAATTCTGGGAATTAAGGTCCACACATCTTAAAATTGCCAAGTTTTAAAAACACTGGCTTAGACTAAGGTAAATATTCCGTGCACTTTAAAAAGAGAGGTGTGACATCAAAATAGAAAGTAACAATTTCTTATCAATTGAAAAAAGGCAAAAATCTGACTGATCTTTGATTAATGTTTGGTAAAAATCTTAGAAAAAAATCGCCTCAGATCAGCAATTGTTTATTATTGACTGAAACTACAGCATGTGGCTTTTGGGTGCTTTCATTTAGTTCATGCTTACATTTGTTTTGTGCCAGTGTACATTCAAAAAAAGTATTATGTCAACAAAGATTTGTTTTTAAATCCAGTAGACTACACAAAATGTCAATAAGAAAAAGATTCTCCAATTTTTTTTTGGTGCCATGACTCTTTAAAATGTGAAATAAAGTCAACATTTCTCATCACTCAGAGATAACAGCTTCAATCAATGGAATGACAAAACATTGCCAGATTCATCATCTTGTTCTTTATTACTTCTCTTTTTATAATTCTGCTTGGATTGTACCTTTTATCTTGTTTGCTTTTATTGTAAAACCACCTGGAGTCAGTCTGGATTTGGGCGGTGACTAAATTGTATTAATTAATCCTGGGTGAGACGAGCTATTCTCTTCATTGGCTTTCTTCATGTTCTTCTCTGCCTTTTCAAGAAATCATACAAATCTTTTTGCCAAAAGTCTGAACTTGCAGTCGGCCCTTAAGACCTTAAACTAAAGGACCACGAGTAAGTCTCTTCTTAATGAAGACAGATCGTTGAAGTGGGTGGTCCGTGACCTCAAGGCCACAAGTGACACTCAAGCCACTTTTCTGCAGCCCCAGCACTCTGTGTCATTGCCAATTTTTTTTCCTTTCTTTTTTTTCCTTTTTATGAAACAGAAAACCATTTGTGATATAGTAGAACAAGATCAATATCTAGAACAGGGGTGTCAAACTCAATTTCATTGAGGGCCGCATCAGCATTGTGGTTGCCCTCAGGGGCCAGGTGGGTGCGGCCTACTGGGTGGGCGTGGATGGAGTGGGTGTGGCCTACTGGGTGGGTGTGGATGGAGTGTGTGGCCTGGGTGGGCGTG